ATGTTATTTCACATCGATCCAAGTATTTGCGTCATACACCACCAAATTAGGCTACTGCTCCTTTTATAGTACTCCCTATTGGTATAGTGTTATAGAAGTCTAAATCCTTAGGATAGGGGTTATATATCTCATTTAATCACTGGCCATATTTCGTCATTGGCTTCTATATAGGTTGTGCAATGCATTACTCTCTGGCTATCTTTATTTTTATACTACTAGATCGCTTGCTTTCATGCTTTTCAGAGTTTCTATTAGCTAGTTTTTCTTGTTTCTTTGTACCAGAGGTGTTCTATATTTGGTAAAGCCATCCTCTTTCTACAGCCCCTTACTATGTTCAAAGCTTCTCTTACCACTTCTGGATATACCACATATAGCCATTTTCTTAAACAAGATCCCATGTTTCAGTTATAAAATCTATGTTTGCTCTAATCTGACTTTAAACTTTATATTAGTTACCACAAAGCCTAAAGTAAGATTGAATTCCTGCTAAATTTATATATACTAAAATAAAATTTGTATTTATATAATGCACAATATTGTAAATTTATAGATTCAAAAACTCGATAATTGAGTTTTTGTTTGATTTTGCCGAGCATTAATCCTAATCACATATTGTAATCACCAGAATATAAAGTAAGTCATGATAGAGTCTTATAACAGAATTTTTTACAATAATATAATAAAAATTATGATAATTTTAATGCAACCTTAAATAATTATATATTATATGTTACTGAAAATTTCTTACAATAATTTACAATAAATTACTATAACTCTGGCAATAGAAATTTTTTATATTAAACCATGGATAGATAATATTAAGCCCTAGTTTTTTATATAAAAAGGGCATGCATGTGGGCATGAGGGGCATGCCGTGACTCAGGACATGCTCTCAAAGACATGCCTAATTTTTTACCCATGTCTCGAACCCTAGCTATAAGACCCTAACCCAAAAATTAATTTATTAAATATTATAAATTATAATAAAATTGATTAAAATGAAATTTAAAGTTTTAGTTATATAAAATTTTATTTTAATTTAATTTTACTTTAATTTATTATATTAAATTTAATAAAAATTAACTTACAAATTTTTTTACTAAATATTACAAATATAAACTTTTTAATAAATTTATTTATAATAAAATACCCCAGCAGTTCAAGATAATAGATATGGATTAATACTCTATATATACCATCATTTATTTTTGCATATAATCTTAATGATCAGATTATTATTTAAATTAAAAATAAGTTATTTAATAAAGCAAATTTTGATTATATTGCAATTTTATCTAAAAGATGAATTAGTTGTCAATTTCTTTTTAAAAATTCTTGTGTTAAAGCTAGTACTGAATATGTGGATTAATTTGAAATTAAATATAAAGTTCAAGTATATCTTTTATGAAAATCACATCCTGGCAGTCATTATTGCAAAGCAATTTTTAAATATCTTGGATTAATTTTTGATAATAAATATAAAATTCTTATAGGAGAAGACACTCCAACTTTAACCGGTATATGCAATCGTTATTCAGCTATTTTGGCAAATGCAACATTAGTAGCTAATAATCATAATTTTACTAAATTATTTTAATACTATTTGTAATAATTATAGCTACAATACCTGATGATCTAATAGAATTATTTTATAATAGTCAGGTATATGTAATATATAAAGATACTATATTTTAACCTAGTATAGCACTTAGATATACTACTAAATTTTACCAAATTTTAAATAATTATAGAGGCTGATGCTGAAACTGGATTATGCTAAAAATTGGGGTTCCTTTTTAAATCTATAAAACCTACTAAAATTTATATATAGTTTTTTATTAATAAATTCCACCCCCAAACCCTAACCTAATTATCAAAAAAAAGCCTACACAAAAGGCTCTAAAAAATTTTATAATTTTATAATAAAATATAAAAAATTTTCAGCATAATCTATTTTTAGCATTAGTCTTCACAATAATTATTATAATAAAGATTTATCTAAAATTATAGCACTATATACTAATAGTAGACCATATTATAGATATACTTATAGATCTGTTCAGATTTCATTTATTTGTTTATTTTTACAAAAAAATTTTGATATGTTAATGGCAGGACATATAGTACTTTATCATAGTTGGGCTAATTTAGCTGAAATAATAATATCAATTTTAAATCTTTTATTACAAAATGTTTTTTTATAATAAGATTCTATAAGTAGTTTATCTAAAAAACTTTTGCTTTACTTAAAACTTTAGAAAAAATTTGTAATGAAGCTAAAAATTTATCTAGTTTAAAAAATGAATTATAAAATTTAATTTTAACACTTTTAAATATTCAAACTGAATATTTAAAACTTTATAATTGATGATCCGCTAGTCACCTGGTGCATGATTATAGTGTAATGTGATGCAGATCACTATGTAAATTATATAAGCAGAAAATATAAAGATTTTTTGACAATTATTTAAAGAAAACTTTTTTTATACTAAGTTAATTAACAAGGTCAATTAATTGCGAGTTGTAGAGCTTACTAAGGCACATCTAATAGTAGTTAAATTATCAAAATTGGCCTAGTAGTTCACAAGATATTACTAAAAAACGATTAGCCAACTATATAAAATCTCTATATAAACAATAGTTTGTTTATATAGAGATTTTATATAGTTGGCCAATCATTTTTTATCAATATCTCGTGAACTACTAGGCCGATTTTGATGATTTAACTACCATTAGATGCACCTCAGCGAGCTTTACAATTTTTAATTAATTGTCTTGTCAATTAACTTAATGCAAAAAAAGTTTTCTTTAAATATTGTCAAAAAATCTTCACATTTCCTGCTTATATAATTTATATAGTGATCTGCATTACATTACACTATGATCATGCACCAGATGACTGGCAGATAATCAAATAAAAATACTTTAATAACTAGAAGTCCTGCTACAAATTCTAATATTGATGAAGTATAATAACTTAGTATAGTGGTCTAGTCATCACCCTCTCCAAATAGTAGGTCTAAAGTTCAAATCTCACTAGTAATAATTTTGAAAAATAGGCCTGTATATAGTTGATAGCTTTCTATTGGTTGGATCTAGATTAATCTGTAACCTTGGTTACACTATCTAGTAATAGAAGCTTCAGCACAATAAATCCAGAGGACCAGAATAACTGAAAACCCGTTTGGCATGTTCTGAGTTTGGAGGTAGCAGTAATCTATGACAGTACTACAAGAAGGCTAAATTTGAACTGGGGCCCAAGATTAAAGAATGCTCCAAAAGTATAAACCAAGGAGAGGGTGTCTTTCAGATACCTAAAGCCTGGGCAGACTTATCTTCTGAGTTGCTGGCTAGAAGTAAAAGAGAGACTGATAAAGAATCTGAGTAAGAAGATAGTATAAATGTGAGTACTGGGTTGCTGGGAACCAGAACAAAAGCAAGAAGTATGTAATAGGTGCCTAATTAGAAAGGTTGGTGCTTGAGAAACATTCTTAAAATGGTAGCATCCCAAAAGGTGGCATGAGATATGATAAGAAAAGACAGGTCAATATATACTAATTAGAAAGAAGTTATAAGAACAAGCATGTGAATACATGTGTAAAACATTTACTGCTATATAAAGTAAGATGCAAAATCTAGCTTGAGTAATACCAATATCTACTTAGTTTAGTGAGAAAACATATTGGGTTAGAGGTTGGATGGAGGTAGTTAGGAATAGATAGTTTAAATAGATATTCTCTAGTTAGAGTGCAGGTATAGAACCTTCAGGAGAACTACTTAAATTAGGCACCAAAAGTACACATGTAATTACATTATAAAACTCTATCTATACTCTAATAAAAAGTTTTTCAGATCATCTTAATACCAAAAAAAAAAAAAAAAATTCTAATATTGATGAATTCTTTAATATAAGTATATAATACTAGATTAATGTGTAGCATTGTGTGTTCAGAGCACATAATAATTATCATATTGCACAAACATGTGATGTGCTTTTGTTACACTAAAGTACAAATATAGACACACGTGCGGACAGATATTAATTTTCAAATTTACATTTTTGATGCACCAGTAATGAATTAATCAAGAACGTAATCTTTGTATCACTATAACTAAACATTAAAAGTCCTCCACTACACTTCGGACAATTATTAAAAATTACTACAGTTAAACTTTAAAATTTTATTTCATTAATATTTAACTTAAATTTTATTAATTAAATCTATAGAATATTTTAACAATTAATCCTACTCTTAAAAAATTTATAACTACTAATAATGCTATTAAAAAACTACAATTATATTAAGAATTTCTTAATGCTCATTGTTGAATTAGATCATATATATTTCAAATCAAAAATGAAAAATTTAGATTTTTGTTTCTGCAAACCAATTAGAATAACAGATAATGAATTTAAATTATTAATATTTCTTCCAAATCCAGAAATATTATCAGGTAAATTATAATATAAAAAATAAAACCTGTTTTAACAAAATTGTAGCTTTGATTAAAAACAACAAATTTATAAAATAAATTTTTTTAAAACTTAATTAAATAATTATGTTTTGGTTTTATAATTTACCACCATGGTGATGTATCACCACCTCTAATCAACTAATTAGAATGCAGGATCAGGTATAATGTGAAATCAAAGCAATTACGATTTTTTTTCAAAAATCGGTTATAGCACAAAATTTTGTCTATGAAATCATCTCTTGTGCTCTAACAAAAAAATTTCTCTCAAAATTTTGGGTTAAAACCTCTTTGCTAAGCACTCCACTCTACTCTAACACTAACCATAACCTAATCCTACCCTCACCCTAACCCTAAACAAATGAATTAATTTTATTGTTTTAATTTCATATTACACGCGATATTATAGGATGCGATACATTGCATATGCAATAAAATATAAAATTCATTTTTATATTATATATATACATAGTAAATGTTTTTTACTATTTAATATTTTATAATTAATTAAATATTAATAACCAATTATGTTATTTTTATTAGATAACCAGCATTATAAAGAATTTGATAAAATATTTCAACAAGAAACAATTAAGCAATTTAAACCTTTTAGTAAAAAATTAAAATTCGAAAAAATTTTTGCAAGAATTTTGTAAATAATTTTATTCTATTGTTAGTTGCTTATAACTTTTGTGGAAAGTATTATTGTTTATATTTTAAAACTATATTAAATGATATTGAAATATAAGCTATTACTCAACATTTTGATAATATTATATATAGTTGTAGATGGTTGTATATTAGAATCCTAACACACAAAATCCCAATATACAAAATTTCAGCAACAAAATCCCAACAAAATCTTGACAAATTAAAATTCTAAAGATATTAAAATTAGAATTTTAATTTGTTGGTATTTTGTGTATTGGGATTTTGTTGCCAGGATTTGTGTGTTGGGATTTTGTGTATTGGAATTCTGATATACAACTGAATTGTAACAGATGATTATTTTTTTGCTAATACAGTTAGGGAATATACTATAAATGTATAGTGCTGATCACATCATTTATAGTAATAGAATACTGATCTAATGGTTCTAGAAATTTCTTTATATCAATTCAAGAATGATCACTAACCAATCAAATTTACTGAATAAAAAAATTTTTTATTATTATACAAACTAGAATATTCTAAATCTTATTTACTTTTTTACTGGTTTATTTACTTTTTTAATAAGAGTTAACTAGAGTGGATTATTGTTGATTATTTAAACTACATGTTTTCTACTATCTATTAATGCTTTTATTTAGAAGTTTTAAGCAATAATTAAAATGTTTAAAAAATTTTCTAAAACTGCTGGCAAGAAGTTATACAAAAGCCAATCAAATCTGTGCAGATTATTCTAGAACCAGATTTTCTAATTTGCCTTATTTGATATATTCTCTGACTGTAATACTCTTTATATATATTTTAATTTAATTAATTTAACTGCAATTTACAAATTGAGCATAATTATTATTCTTGTAGACTTAAATATTTAGATTTATGTTTTTGGTGTGGTTCAGAAGATGAATTACTTGAAATTTCTTCTAAAATGCAAAAAAATTAGAAATCAATTTATCTACTTTGTGCATTGTGTCAAATCAAAAAAAAAAAACTGGGAGACTTGATCTCCTAAATTATTTAAAAAAAAAATTATTAAGATTATAATATTTAATAGATATAAGCTTAACAATCTATTTTTTTTAAAAAAAATTTATGCTTAAATTTTATATGCAAAATATATTTTTAAATATAGTATGGTTTATTTATATGCTTAAAATTTATATAATTATGATAAAATTTTAAATATTTATATATCTAAGTTTTTATACTATATTAAAAAAATGGCAAATAAAGTGGCAATCATTAATTGGCAAAATAAATTTAAAATTAAAACCTTGATTTTATTGTTTAATCATCTTTTTAAAAATTAAATAACTAATAATATATTATAAATTAACCTATATATTTTGTAAAGTTGGCAGGTAGGTTTAGGATTTTTGAACAAATAATTGGAACAGCTTTTAAAATAAAACTATGTATCTGAAAAAAGAGAATACTATTGGTAAAGCAAACACATAGCTAATATCCTTATTGGTACAAAATAACTACAAATTTTTTTACTTAACTACTGCACTATTAAAATTAAAGCCAGTGAAACTGTATTTTATTTCTTTGAAAAATTCACTAGTCAATTAGCAATATGAACATTGAATTCAAAATTTTAATCATTTCATTTCAAACCTTAAATTAGCTTAAGTGAAATAATCAGTAATAGGCGATTATTTATTTTTTTACAATTATGTAAAATGGTCTTGATTTAGGGTTTGGAATAAAATAATTATCTGAGAAATTGGGAAGTGAGGAATCAGATATCAATTAAAATAGGTCATCGTTGGTACTGCTTATAGTATTCTCAAAACATAATACTTTCATGATTAAGATTCGGATATTATTAAATAAGATCTGGGGTATAACTATGCGCAGTATATTGATTTACAAATTTTAATACAGTATCTCCAAATACAATACCTGTTCTTCACACAGTACCTGCCTAAATTTGATTTTAGATAAACTTTATAATCTAATATACACAAAAAATTTATTTATTAATTTGTTGTATTGATACTAGCGGAATTAAAATAAAAATCAAATTATAGTTAGATGATTATCAATTATCATGTTAGCTTTGTAAAGTTTAAATTATATCAAATTTTGATAATATTTGAATATTTTGTTTTCATTCTATTTAATGCTGATTTCTTTTTTAAATTAATGACCAACTATAATTATTCCACCATCATCTATGACTGAAATATAGCATAACTTGCTTTACTGTTACTAATTTAATTTACGTTTTTCTGATTACTAGATCGTGAATATCTAAGTATATGACATATTCTAATCTTTATTACAAATATAATAAACTTTGTAGATGTGCAGCTTGAACAAAGTGTGTTCCAGAGTGCATTTATGTCAATAGTTAGTACACATTAGTATAATTTAGGATAATTTAGGAATTTTAGGACATCTGAAAACAATTATTTTTATTTTAAGATAATCTAAAAACCAACTTTTATATTTTGCATAATAGAATTTGTATTCTATTCTCGCTCAAGATAAAAAATATTAATATTAACTAGATAATTAACTTTAAACAACTTAACTAAAACCCATAGACCAAATTTTAACTAAAAGTTAACTTGTTATAATAGATTTACAATTCTAAAAATCGGTTGTTCATTTTATTTGTTCGTTTAATTCCCCCTCCTACCCCCTTCAAAAATCCTGGAAGGCAATGTTAATCAAACAATTAACTTCAAACGGTCTTAGTAGCCAGCCAACACAAGCCCAATTCTATGGTATACTTATTTAACCGCCAAGTAAGCTGCAGCAAGACCCGAAAAGCTTCGAGATTCGAACCAAGTCTTTCTATGCCTTCTTTCTGCCTGTCAAATTGAAGTCTTTAGGGCAGTGTATAAAATCTCAACTCAAAAACATGTGAATATTGTGCACAGTGCACATTAAATTTATGTGAACAATTTTAAAAATTAGTGCACTATAAATTTTTATTATAAAATAAAAGTATGTGCACAAATTTAAAATATGTGCACTATAAAATTTATTATATTAAATAGTTTAAATTATTAAACAATTTTAATATATTTTTTGTCTTATTGAATAGTATTTTTTGTTATCAATTTATAATACAATACAATCAATATTTTTAAGTTTCTTATATACATATTTGCATATTAACAAAATAAAGAATTTAATTATTTGTAGTTTGAAAATTACAAGACTCAGTATAAAGTGTAAATTATATTTGTATAAATGTAAATGAATTTACTACTTAAATATTACAACACTATTTGTTCTAATTTTGTGTGATATCATTAAGCAGCTAACCCTATGTTGTTAATAAACTCTTTAGAAAATTAAAGATCAAACCATATAAATATGTTAATTACATGGATATAAAATACTTTCTATATGTTTTTTTTTTTTTTACCAATTGAATTATATTGATAATGTACACAATGTGCTCTATGTGCACATAGTTGATATTTTATTAGTAAATTTGGTGCACTATGTTTTTGAAAAGTTGGTGAATCTTGTGCACATTCCAGGCCAAAAATATGTGAAACTTTTTGAAAACATGTGTGCTGAGCACACTGTGCACATAGATTTTATACACTGCTTTAGGGTCATTGACTTATAGTTTAGTTGGTTGAGTGGTTGAATTAGATAGTTTTAGCTCTAAACGATTAAGTCGCACTTTCTCAGCGTGCATGCATAGCGATAGATTATGTCGATCTATATACAGATTAATTCATATGTGAAGAGTAATGGCGTGATGAATTCATGCGTGAAAAATAACCAGAATTTGACAAATAAGTCATGCGGACCGGACTAATCCCACTTAATTCACTGTACAAGCTATATACACTCATTGCATTCGTTTCTGGTATAGTTTCGGATCGCACCTCTACATGATAATAATTTATTCTAATACAAATCATTTCAACTTTAACTACATACTGCATATTATTGGAATAGCGAGTAAATATTTGGGAACACAATAAATGAAATATCTAATTTGGTCGTGAAAAAAACTTTATTTTGATATAAAGTCATAGGCTAAACAGATAAACTGGTCTAAATTTGGAAAAACTGAATTTATTATGGCATAAATCAGGGTAGGGCTGTTAATCAGTTTGAATAAAACAGCAGCCCTGTGGTCCGTCTTAGGACCGGACCAGTCTAGTCTTTTATAGGACGGACCAAAAAGACTATCGGTCCTAATATAGTTAGCATTAAATTATTGTAATGAACATATATTGATATAGCTAATTTTTTGTGATTTTGTTGAGTTCGGATTATGAGCACTATTATAAATATCAGTATATACAAAGTTAATTTTTAGTGGCTTAGACAACGATAATAAATTTAAAAATTTTAAATCGGATTTTATCTTTAATAATATAACAGGTTTTCTTTAAGAATTAGATATACAAATCTATATTCTTAACTAAAACGATTGTTTAGATATGCTTATAATACAGGGTTCAAAATTCGTGCGCATTGCCATCACTAGTTCTAATAATAATAAATAGGTGTGAATATTGGTTAGAGGTAGCTTTTATGCAATAAAACGAGTAATAAACTAATAATTTGAATCGAGTCTATGTGTAATAATACATAATAACTAATATGTTGGTGCAATTTATGTGGCATTTAATTAATATAATAATCAGTACATACTGATAGGTCCTAATCAGTCCTGCACTGCAGTTTGGTCTAACGTTTTGAAAGACTGTCAATATTTTGGACCAAGACGGACCGATTAACGGCCCTAGTGCGAAAGAAGAAAAAAAAGGAAAGCGAAAATACTCAAAAACCAATGTTTAAATCGACCTAATTAAAAATAATTGGAACGGAGCTTTTTGGATAGTAAGTGACTGTCTATCATTATAGCCTTTAAAATTAACTATCTAACCCTAAACTTCCATTTTTATGCACAACAAAATTAAATTTCCTTTTTTGGGGGTCCGCTAAAGCGTGGTAAATTACGTAATAATCAACCAATCAAATCGTTAAAATTTGATGATCCCGGATCAGCCCGACGAAGCAAAACAAGCGAAAAAAAGAGAAATATGCGAAAAATAGAAGAAACTGTAGTCTAACCCCACCTTGGAGCATTAA